CTGCTGTGTTCATCCAGCTCCACACCTTGTTATCTCAGATTCTCCAGCATCTGCAGTTCCTACTATCTCTTACTGAAGATTATCCAAGATTGGGATTCCAAATAATAAAAGGATAGTCTTTAGATTATTTCAAAACCTTGGTTACATTTGGAGAACATACTTTAAGCTGCAGAACAATTTTGATGACGTACTGATGGTTTACGGTCTGTTATTTTTGGAGTCCAACGTAATCGAACATACAGTATCACAGAAAACGCATGTCACCATAATGATGAAACATGACATTTGAAAGTTTGTTATGGGGTATTGTAATCAGTAAGCCATAAAAAGTGTGCAGCGATAGCACTCTAAGTAACATCCACTGATCGCTAAATCCAAATGTTAATTACACCCTTTGCCTTTGCTCTCACCAACTATTCTATTCCTCTCCCTTTGTCAACAGTATAACTACCATGTTTTTCCAGCTCCCTTCAGTTCTGAAGAAGGGTCACTGGACTTGAAACATTGAGTTGTTCTGCCCACAGATACTGCCAGACCTTGCTCATTTTCCTCGAGCATTTTCCATGTTTATTTACGTTTGCATGAGTCTTGCACACAATGTCCCAACTGGGATAGGCTTGTCCTCTCTGCTTCCTGATCAGTTAATGCTCATTGCACCGCCTGTTGTCCAACAATAAACTACACCCGATTTGCAAGACAAATGCCTCATAGTAGTTTATCCTCTATCGCTGATAATTAGATTTAGCCTTGGCACAGAAAGGAGGAAAGGCTAGGAGGGCTGGGTTCAAGTCTCACCTCAGCACGTGAGGACAATGGATTTGTGAGAGAATGTGTCCAAACAGCATGGGTGAGAAAATATTTCAGCACCGTGGGGCTCATCAGGGATTGGTGGTCTGTTCAGGGACTGGAATACATTGCATGACAAGCAAGACACCCCATGCACCCCAAGATGTGACATTTTAATTTAATTTTGATAAGTTTCCATCAACTATTTCATTCTTGTTATTGTTGGAGTACCCCAAATGAGATTGTCTCACTTACTTTTTTAAAAGAGTAGAAAGGACAATTGGTGGTAGTGAGCTATCCCGAACACAAACCACCAGTGTTAGTGACCAGAACCCAACACAAGGTTTATGGACTGAATATTTGCACTCTTTTAGGATCTTATTAATCAGTATGCTTGTTCACACATCTATAAGAACAAGTTTATTACTATCTTAAAGTCAAAATGTAAAATAAGCCTGTTTGCATCAAAAGTACCTGGCTGCATCAGTTTTGTGATTCTGAACCTAAAGCTGGAAAGACCATCAGAATCATAATATTGAAGAACCAGGGGACAGAATTCAAAACCCGAAGGCAATATTCCAAATGCATATTTGTTTATTCTATATTTATTCATATTTATTCTACTGCACAAACTGGTCAACGTGTGCATTGTAATTTAATATGTTGAGAAACTATCCCTTCTTTTCAGATTGTATGGGAAATAGTGAGACATTCCCAAATTGTACTCTCCGTTACAAAGTATCACTGAAGTAATCAAGGGCCTGGAAAATCCAGAGGACATGATTCTTGCAGTTAGGCTGGTATTGTGCTAGCACAGAACTCTGCCAGTAATCCTACTGATGTTTGCACAGATTGGGTGAAGTCAGGCACATTTGTGCTGACTCCACATCAGTTCGTGGGGACAGAGGAGTAGTAGTAACTCTGGGCATAGGAGATCCAGCTCACTCCTGCTTCCACCCCTTATATCAAAGATCCATAGGAGTGGGCAGATATATATCCAGCCCAACTTAACAGTCAATAATTATGCAAATACTTTATACTTTGAAGGATTATATTTATGCCTGGAATGTTTTAGGATGGACTAATTTTGAAAATTTAAATACATGAACACTTCTTGGGAAAGACCGACATCATGTTGAAGCATTTATCCCCAAGACAGTGAGTGACCTTATCTTTAGCAATGCTCAGGCATCATCTTAGTCACAGATCTCTGACCTACTTGAGACAACACTATGGTGTAAAGTCCCTAAAATAAATCTTTCATCTCAGAAGGGGCTTAGTCAACATGTACAAGGTTATTAAAAGTATTTTAAAATTTTGTGATCTATCCAGCTGCCTTAAAATACAACCGATCATCACCAATAATAACCTGTGCTGTGAAGTACTGCACCAGAAACAATTACTACCATTCTTCTCAGCATTTATTTCAACATTCGAATCATTTAACAAATCATTCAACATTTAACAAATACACTTTACAAAACATTAATTGGTCACTGAAATAACTTTGGAACAGGCCCAATGTTGTAAGATATGTAGAACACCAACACAGCAATTTGGGAGGGGGCATTGAAATTCAAGTTTGTCCTCCACTACCTAATGTTAGCAAATTTTTTTAATAAGCCTAATTATTTACCATTCTGATGAGGGAACAGGGCTGGAAAACCCTATATGACTTTGTTCTTGACATCAGCAGGACCCCAAAATAACAGCCTGGAGTCTATATCAAATATGGGCCTGTAGATGCAGTGCTTCTGGGTCTGATAGACAAATGAAATAGAGCATACACAGAGGGAAAGCTCTATAAACAGGGAAGCAAAAGAAGAGGACTCTTGTCAGAAGACCATACTTACCATGCATTTTCAAAGAGCACTTCTTATACTTTTGCCTCACTCAGGAACAGTGCCTGATTTAGGGTCAAGGAGGTGGTAGTTACAAAAGCAATCACCTCCTTCCAGAGGACCTGCAACCTCACAACAAGGCAAAGATGACAGGGCCAGTGGCTGTAAAAGTCATACTTGTGTTAAACATCTACAATAGAAACGGAAAGTTTCAGAGAAACTCAGCTGGTCTGGCAGTGTCTCAGCTGGTCTGTGGGAGAGAGAAGCAGAGTTAGTCAGTTCCAAGGAGAGTCATACTGGACTTGAAACACTAACTCTGTTTCTCTCTCTACAGATTTTGCCAGTGGAGTTGAGTTTCTTCAGCATTTTCTGTTTATTTTTCAGAGTTCCGGCACGTGTGCTACTTAAACACCTACACAACTGATTATTCCAGGTTGGAGCAGGCAACATAACAAACACATACCACACCTGAAAATGGTTGAAGATGAAATTTTTGTTCTAATTATGGATGTAGTATACAGCAGTCCAGTGACATGAGGGAGAACATGTACCAAATTAATGGAAGAAAACAAAACTTTCTGATAAATAAATTTCCTTTCATGAAGGAAATTCAACAATCACTTCTTATAACTTCAATCAAATTTTATTTTATGTCAAAAGATTAGAGTGCACAGGACAAGTGATAATTGCACGCCAGTAGGTCTGTAGATTGTCCATTTAATTCATTCAGGATAAGGGTTCATAATTTAGTTGTTCATTTCTAGATTATGAATTGCGGCCTATTTATAGTAAAAGGAAACCAGTAATGCAATATTTTATAGCAATATAATTTACATTTCCTCTTGTTACACTGTTAAATTTCTGAGGTCTGGGACTGTGTCTTTAATTAAAATTAAGTGTTTAATGTGACCTGTTCAGATGTCTTTCTGACAACAGGCAAGGCTTAAGGGCAAATGGAAGGCCAGATTATTTCGCTGGAAAGGAGGCATAAAGGTGGTCACACATGGAGGCAATGACAACAGCATTTCCAGTGAGTCTCAGGCAGGTTATGAGTATATCAGGTTATAAACAGTTATACTTTAAACTGTCCATAACATTCCAAGGTAGAATATAATTGGGGTGGAAATAACTGCTCATCAGTATTTTTACCAGAATACAAGGCTCATTGATTCATGGTGCCCATGGGATGGAGGGCAAATTGAGGTGGAAGCCCATCGAATTGAGGGCAAATTATTGACATGGATAGGAAAATGGTTGAGTGGCATAAAAAAAGAGTTGGAATAATGGCTAAGTACTGAAATTGGCAGGACATGTCCCGCAGGGATCTGTGTTGGGGCCTCAATTATTTACAATATCCACTAATGGCATAGATAATGGCTCAAGAAGTCAAATATCCAAATTTGCCGATAACACAAAATTGGGCAACATTGTGGGTAGTGTTGATGACAGCATAAAATTACAAATGGATATTGATAGATTACGTGAATGGGCAAAGATGTGGCAGATGAATTTTAATATAAGCAAGTGTGAGGTTGTCCATTTTAGACTGAGAAAGGATAGATCTGGGTATTTTTTAGAAGGTACAAAGTTAAATACAGTGTATGTCCAACGAGATTTGGGGCTTCAGGTGCATAGCTGTTTAAAATGCCATGAACAGGTGCAGAAAATAGTCAGGAAGGCTAGTGGAGTGCTGCCCTTCCTATCCAAAGGGCTGGAGCACTGGGATGCAGACGTTATCCTGCAGTTATACAAAACCCTACGTAGACACCACTTAGAGTACTGTGAGCAGAACTGAACACCACACCTTAGGAAGGATGTTTTGGCCCTGGAGGGAGTTCAACGCAGATACACAAGGATGATACATGATGAAATATCTCCACAGAGGCTGCTATCCCATCA